AGAATTAAAATAGAATAAGATATGTCAGCTAACTATTTACATGTTATAATAATCGTTATTGAATACTCCAATGGTTTGTGATTTTCCGTTGTTGATATTCAGGACACTCACTGGTTAATCTGTTTTCATATGTGGATTTTCATTGAAATACCTTGATATGGAATTATACAACAAGTTTTTTAATATTTTACGTATGGTTGGGATTGGAAACCAGGATAAATGTTTCATCCCGTTAGGGATAACTCATCAGTTAAATACTGATACTCAATACCACAATTAGTCAATCACCGCTGTCATATGAACACCATGAGCGGATTTAGTAGTAGTAAATTATAGGGAGAAAATGATATATTCAAAATGTATTTATGATGAAATTATTCATGAAGAAAATCACATGTGAGAAGAGACAGAGTAAACACAATAATTTCTGTTGTATACAAAAGTTATCCAATTTAATTACAGTTAACAACATAATTAAATGACTTAGTAAGTAAAATTAACTATGAATATTTTAGATAAATACATTCCAAAATAGTTGATGTTACAATTACTTGTGATAAGTGTTTAGCACACACATATACATACAAATTTAACTAAAGAATGCAAGAGAAAATTAACAAAGACTATATATATATATATATATATATATATATATATATATATATATATATATACTCTGTCTTAATGACATAGCATAGTGTTATAATACAAAACATGTATCTAAGCAGACAAAACAAATCGATTTCATGATGTATATGTGTGTGTTTGTTTTTTCTCAGAATAACATAGTTGTAAAGATCTTGTTCCATCAAAATAACAATAAAGTCTTTTAATCACTTCTCTATTGATCATTTTGATTTGAATTGCGAGAAAAAAGTCATAACAATAACTAATTGTCAGGTGATTTTATGCATAAACAACTTATGTTTATTTTTTCATAGAAAAAAAATCTCAACAAGAAGATACGAGAATAGTGAAAACAGTTCAATCCAAATATTGTTTTTAACAACTGAACAAGATGGCACTAGGTTGGATTCGTGACAGTTTCTTGTATATTTATGTGTGTGTGAGAGATGCTAAGGCATACCAAAAATTACAAGAACATTAATAAAAGGAAATATTACCAATTAATACGATCAATTCTTGAGTCGCGGTATTCGAGAACAATGTACAATATAATCAGAGGTCATCGACACAAGATTCTGTACAGTTCACGAGTGTGTGTACCTATCAAATAGTTTATTGAAGATCGATAGGTTGATGATCAACTGATAAAGTTACAATAACATTTCACCGACCACTGATTATTGTGTTTCGTGTAAGTCAAGAAGCTTTAATCAAGGAGTCAATAGAAATATATGTCTTATTACTATGATAGATTTTCAGTGAAATCAATTAGTAATTTGACGTGTAGAGCAATAATTATGCCTGATAGTTTTAATTTCTAATTGATGTATAATGAATGACGTATAGAACTTGTATTCAATAATTACTAATGCTTTAAATAACAATCAATCACTTTTAAAAGTTCAATGTTAAAGATTTAGGACCAGAAGAATGGAAACCCCATTCACGTAACCAGTGCAGTTGGTTTCTTTTGGCATTATAGTTTATTTTGAAGTCAGTCAGCTATAACGTAGGACCAGGCACATATATGCATCGGTCCAGGTTGCCACACATCATTAGCACAACAAGATGTACATCCGATTCATAGTAGTTACTTCACTGGAAGTAATATATAAAAAAAAGATTGTGACAAGGATATGGTACAGGAAGAAGGAATTAGTTGGTAGAAAGAAAGATATAAAGCAATTTTAATCTCACAGTTTAGGGGAATACAGAGTGTACACCTACGCCATTGTGATCGATTCTGAGCCATGTTACCCAGAGACTCCAACCATTGGTTTGAAGGCGTGTGTGTGTATCTATAACGCGATTAGTACTTGTTTAAGGAATTTTTGACCTACATGTAATTCAAACTAAAACTTAAAACGATAGAAAGGAATATATAGAATGGTTGAAGTTCCACTTGGTGAGAATAAACAAGGACTAACTTGAAAAGAGAAATTTTATGATTGACTTTGATGAATGATTTAGAAAATAAAAATTCAATTATTTAAAACACATTAGTTTTTGACTGGTGTAGTTGGGCGGTATTTTGCTAACACTGTTGGCCTGTGCATGCACAGAAACAAGATGGCTTAAAATCCGTTCTTTATAAATGAGTTATATTTAAACAACTGGTTGACAAAACAAAAATATTTCAGTGTCAAACAACAAAATCGATGAATTCATGACATTAAAGAACCAAAAATTGGTTTATAGACATTTAATTACACATAACACGGGTAAAGAAAATGTGGTTGGTAAATATTGATGATATTAAATTAAATATAACATGGACACTTGTGTCAGGACAACAAGAAATCAATAATACATCTACAAAACACCATAGTGATTATTACCATGAACAAAAAAGTGTGCATGGAAAAAATGTGAAAAGGTATTTATTGTTTCATGAATCTTGAATAAAAAAAATTGAGTTGATGATGATAATATTGATATAAGTAGGAGGAGGTGGTAATAGGTGAAAAAATTGTCTGGCATTAGTGCAATGATAACCACCAAGATGGTAGGATTATGTATTATTATGATTTTAGGAGCGATTGTAGAAACATGTGAGATTTTATTACTCTCTCTAGATATATAAATATTTTTAAAACCACACGGGGTTATTCACGCAAAAAAATAAGATGACCAAGAAATCTTAGATACCTGATTACTCGGTTTGTCAATGTCAACACAAAAACTAAAGAAGTTATAAGAGAAATTTTGATGGCTAACTATCAATTACTTAATGGTTCCTCTTTAGAGTGTATTTCCATTACGAACAGTATGAAATAGATATTGGAACTTCTCGTTTTACATTTGATAACCATTTAACATATATTTTACAAACATTGACAGGTTAGGGCGGTGGAGCAGTATACAATTTGTCGTATCCAATAAATGGAAATTTTCTAAGCAATTATTTGAATTTCAGTGAAGAGGTATAAAAACAGTGATGATTTAATTTCCATTAAAAGTAACAACGCACTACGGGATGACATTTACACAGACATTAAACGCGATTCAATGAAGCATATAGCTCTGTAAGTACATACACCATTGATAATTTTATGTGTGGCAGAAACTTCTGGCGTTTATCACTATTGTCAGTGTAGGGTCTGTGGAGATTGTTGAGTTTGATTGAGATCCTAAAACTGGAACCCTGGAGGCACTAGACAGCTATCTTGTCCTAGTATGGCACTCGTCAAAAGTGCGGATTTATGACCCCGCATGCGGGAATCGAACTCTGGACCTTCAGTCTCGGGTGCGAACGCTTAACCTCCAGACAATTGAGCCAGGATCTAATGGTGTTAACGTCGAACATCCACAATCGTACACTGAAGATTTTGATGTTCTCACTTGTGAATAGCTTTGAGAGATAAATCTCGGAGTTCTAGTAAAAAGCCGTGATCAGTGAATTTCAACTGTGTTGGATGCGAGGGATTTACCTACCGAAAACAATCGAACAGTAACGCAATAATGTGGATTAATTGAAATTAGACATTAACACCGTTAGATACCGGCTCGATGGTCCAGAGATTAAGTGTTCGCGCGAGAGACCAAAGGTTCAGGCTACGAGTCCCTCGTGCAGAGTCGTGAATGAGCACTGTTGAGGAGTCCCACACCAGGATAAGGTAGACGTCTAGTGCTTCCAGGTTTTCAATGATGGTCTACCACTTATCATTATATTACTACCTGGATATATGATAATTTCAAAGCCTTAATATCTACTTTAAATAATAATTTTGGTCAAAAAAGTGCAGATCAATCCATGGAAGCAAATAATTACTATTTTTTTACAGTCATCAGCAAATAATCGATTGAGGTACAATAAACATTTATTCCATCCTGTGTGAATCAAATGACATAACAGTAAAGGAACATCATCTACAAAATAAATTGTACGAATTGTGAAAAAAATTACATGGGAAAAGTGGGCGCTCCCTTCACCTACACATAAATGGACAAGCACTAGCAATGAGGTGGAATGATTATACAATTACTGGTAAAAATGCACGTACGTAACCACTGACATGAATTCGACCAGTAAAAGTCAAAATTTTGGACTGGGGAGACTCCAATAATGTCTAAGTATTACTAGAAGCATAGTGTTCAGAATAATTGGAAATCGATTTATGAATCTTTACAAAAGGGGATCAATCAGTCAGTCACAAAACCAAAGGCTTAACGTGAATTCAATGACAAATCAAGACAACAAAACCGACGATGATAGCCAATCACAGGCAAGATCATTAAAATGAACTGATATAACACTTATAAAATAGCTAAAATGCTTACATCTACATGAATTTAGAAGCTGAAAATATTGTCCAAAACGACAATGAAAGCTCCAGAATTAAAGAATTTAGCTAAAAAAACTCAATACTGTCAAAAATAATAAACATTCCTTGTAAGTAGATAATCTTACATTTTTGGCATACAAGTTGTAGTTTGAATACTGAATTTCTATAGATTTTTTTTGCAAGTAGTTTAATTTTCTATCAGATAGAATATTGTTTATAATTGCTAACATTTTCAAATTTATTTACAGCAATACAATGTATAAAAAAACAACAAATAATTCATGTAAATATTAACGCTCTTTTATATCAGAAACTTTAACCCAAATCTAAATTTTGGTAGATTATAAAAGAATAATATTTGTTCTAATTAAAGAGAAAAAAAGAACACTCATTGATTAGTTGATATGAAATAATTACCAACAACAACAACAACAAAGAAACATTGAAAGGAAGAGTAAACAGTAGATGAATACAACCACTAACATAACAGGGTAAATAGAGAAAAAACATCCCAAATATGTATCTGGTATGAAATATTGATTAAAGAATGCTGAACGATGATTCATTCATTTGTTATTTTCTTTTTTTAGAAACAAGAGAGGACAATAGACATTATGTGATAGATAGTGAATGAGATAAGAGGCGGTTAACAATAATAACAATGATAATAAAGATAGTAATAATACTAGTACTAATAACAGCAGTAACTAAAATGTAATTCTCATATCACAGTAAAAATACTTGTAAATGAATACAAGGAAATAATATAAACAAAAGGCGTGGTTCTTTTTCTTTTTAAAAATGAAACTAATTTATAGAATATTTAATAGAGAAGACATTCCAGAAATTTATTGATTAAGGAAATAAAACAGTTCATGATAAGGATTTATTATACTTTGAATATATTTATGGACCTTTACTGATAGTCTACAGGTAATTGTACAAAAAAGATGAAACTGAACTATTAGAAGCCATCAAAGTAGTTATAATGATTAAAAGTTCTATGACATAACTGAATGTTCCTGGTTTGATCCCTGGTAAGGTCTTGGAGTACACACTACTGAGTCCCATACTAGGATCAATTAGATATCCAGTACTCACAAGTTTTCAGTAAGATTAATTTATGGCTAATATAAACTACAAATTAAACATAGCTCCATAAAACTTCTTGGACTAAAACATATTTGTGTATAACGAATAAAACTGAAGGAAGATGTATGGGTTAATAGTTAACAACTGACATATATAAAGAATATTTCATGCAGAAAATCAGTTGTAAATTGAATGACTTAGTGTCAAGATCTAAGGGCTTCAACTGCCCTGGTACGGCCGAGGGTGAGGAGAGTCAGCTCTCCCTCTCGGAATGCTCTCACATGGCCACGCGTATATGGCAATTGTCAGAGAGTTCCTGCTCACTGCCTTCGCGCGGAAGGGGTTTTGTTACGAAATTGAGAGGACGAGAAGCGAGTATTTGGCGCGAAAACCGAGTTGGTGAATATGGAGAATCCACGTAGGTGAGTTGGAAAACCTTCATTTCAAACCAATGATGTACATGAGCTCCAGGTTCCTGGGAGAACAAATGGTGTATAAATCAATTGTTGGTCACCTACTAGCATGGAACTGAATCTCCTAACGTTGCGCCACTGCCTTTGGGACCTCTAGGCCAAAGGTTCGAGAAGTGGCCCCCAAGAAAACCACCTGCTTCGGTCTGGGCACACGGGTAGTATTCCAGCCCTCATACAAACCAAATGACGAATTGTGGCGCATATTTGGTGCCTTCTTGTACTAATGTTTATATGTTTAAATAAATAAATAGAACAAAATCTATGGCTAATTGAGAGATTGAATGATTAGGATTTGAATATTTGGAGATATATCGGTTACACAAAAATTATTGTTAAACATGGCTAATGGTAAGTACCAACTGGTATGAAACCTATGTCAAGGAATTCTTACAGCTTAACACATAAGTACTAAATGCAAAATTTAAGAAAAAAATGATTAATTAGATTAATATCACAAGTAATTTCGATTCAGAATTGGAAGAGAACGGTGATGAGAAATTATTTTTTTTAAATGACTTCACCACTAGACTACTTCTGTTATTTAAAAAAAGAAAATAGCTCAGTAAGTTTTGTTTATGAACTGTATGAAACAAATGTTATCAGTTGTAGAATATTTAAGTTCGAGCATGGAAAAAGATGAGTTCTTTAGTAGTCATCTTTTGGTAAAGGTATAAAGCACTGGCGACCTTGAAAGACTAATAAGACAATCAGGAAGCGCTACACCTTTATAAGATAATTAACAATAATAAGCAGTGGAATAACAGCTTGATTTAGATAAATTATTCTTTATAGTAAGTGAAAAAGGTCAAGTTTACATAAATACGTACATATTATGAGTAGCGCTGGTATTCTGAGGTAGGGTTATCACCTAATCGAGTTTATGTCACCACATGACATTGGTTGTAATGTAATTAGGTTAGGGTTGCTATTAAGAGTAAGGCTGGAGTTTTCAGTTGGATTTAGAGATTAGGTTTGAAGCTTTGGTTACCAAATGATATCAGTTATAAAGCAATGCTTTGTTACCCTTCTGTTTACAAATTTAAGGAACTTAGGGTTGAGATTTAGAGAAATTTAAAAGGGAGAATATTATCTAGGTTCACTAAACACTCTTGACTATGTATTGAATCACACTAAGCACTTTGACTCATAATCTTCCTTAAGAACAGGTATGCTTTATCATTTAGCTAAAGCACAATGTTAAATTCATATCAGGTTGGATAATAGATATTTTTATTGATTTCGAGCATTTTAAAAATCAGTTATTATCAATTTTTATCTATCACTATAATTCAAACATCGCGTAAGACATGAGGAGTTACCTTAATTGTGATTGGTTAGCTCACGGCCATCAGTACGTTATACTTTTACTCATCTTTCTATTCCAGGTAACATTGCAGACAATAGACATAAATATTTATGTAATGTGATTATAATGAAATCAGATGATGAGTCGAACACTTTGTAAAAATAATTACATCAAGTCAGAAACGGAATGGGGATTAACAGTCGTGTAAAAAGTTATACAGATACTTAAAAGATAAAGTGTATCAGTTTGATGTCTGATGCTTTCAACACCACTCAATCTACAAGTATGGAACATCAATATACTAAATTGTATAGTCTTTAGTTTCTTGGTATCTTGTTTAGATGTAGAAATAATTTTAGATCAATTGCTCCATTTGTTTTTTAAAAAACCTAATGATACAGTAAAAAATAAATCTATGGCAACGATGTAAAAGTAATAAAACTTTATCTATGTGAACATCTGTACAATGGGCTTTGAGTTATACTTTTTATAAGAGGTTTAGTAATAATGCTTGACCAGTGAGTAGTGACCAATGTCAGCATATTTGTCTGACCCTTTAATACTAACTAAATTATTAAGTAGTGGTTATTATTGCCAATCATGGAGTAACCTGGGTTTTTACACAACAGGAGTAAAGTTTCACACATGGTACATCGAGTCTGAATCGACTTACAGAAGTTGCATTAAAACAGATAGAAATTAGCTTGTACACTACCGGTAGAACTTTTTATATAAGGATGTGATAATAATAAGGGAAAATTTGTAACAGGTCAATCGTTAATACATTGATATATTAATCTATATAAAGCATATTATATAACAATTAGTGCCAGGGTACTTTTCTTAATAACTCACATACCTCAGTTAGTAAACCACTATTCATAAACACAATCTAATGGTAAAAAATATTGAACGTGGGAACTTTATACAGTTACATTTGATAAATATCAATATTTCAATTGAATTGAAAAAATTAAGATTACACATCAAAGGAGCATCACTTGATACGAAGTACTCATGACTAAATAATGTGAGTTGAAATAAATAAATATATATATAATATTCTAAACCCACCTACCCAGCAAACGCAACAATTAATCGTTTAATTAAAGATTCTTCATCATCAGGAATTGATTTGTTATGAATAAAGAAGTGTTTATTCATAAATATATCGGGAAGACTGTTCATAAGTGATTTTTTAATAGTTTCCTCATCTTCATCTTCATCAACGACCGACAGCTGATTACGACTGGATGACATGACTCTATAGGAAATGAAAACAAAAACAAGACGAAGAGGATTATTCTTTAAACATAAAAAAAGATAAGTACAAAAGATACTGATAGGAAAACTGTTCTAAACTCATACTGCATAAACGTTACCGTAAAATGTTCAGTGATGAGTAAACGTTATTATCAAAATCATTTAGCAAAACTACATTTTGTTGAGATCATAGACCAATCTGCGTTAGACAATTATTAGAAACCTGGAAGTGTTGAACAGCTGTTACATCTTAGTATGACACTCCTCAGAAGCGTGCATCTACAACTCCTCTAAGAAGGATCGAAGAGGTCTCGTGAACAAATGCTAAACATTTAGATCACTGAGGCCTCATTCGATGGTGCACAAGTATAATCTCAATCAATTCGCGATATTGTGCAATCACCTTCCATTGTCTTTGGTGAGTACTTTACTCACATCCGACACCGTTGAGCTTTATTGAGGTTTGTTGCAAATACAATACTCATTTGTGCTTGAAAAGTAAACTAACGATTAAATCCATAATTTGGAAAATAATTTTTATTGTGGACTAAATCAGTTGGGGGACTATTTTGAAAAGCGGTAGGCAGTGGACTGCTTTGTTTAGTCTCAGCTTTGATTTCCTCAATAAGGGAAGAGACTGTCTAATTATCCAGTGATGTTTAATAGTTCTTAATGAAAACCGATTTTAAAATTCTCTACAACATGATGTAACTTTTATTAGTATTGGTGTGTGTGTGTGGCAAAAAGAAATCGATCGAAAAAGATTCATTCGAAACACAGATATATAAACGAATGTTCTTCCCAATCACTTCTTTTCAGGTCCTATAGTTATGTTAATAATACAATAAGTGGTCAGGTTTAAGGCAAATACATCATTTAAAATTATACCATGTGAATTTAGTTGTTTGCAAAATTAAATAAGATTGTTAGTGAGCACTGCTGAGAAGTTGCATACTAGGACGAAACGACCGTCTAGTGCTTCCAGGTTTTTAACGATGATCTAGCTCATATCACCTTGTGATTTAAACCTTGAAAATATGAATAGGTTTATATGCTAAATGAACTTGTAAGATTAATGATCAGAATAAATATGGGTAACCCAGGATTGCGAGAGATAGCAATATAATTACAAATCAAAATAAACATTTGATCAAGGATTATGTAATATATCGAGTAACGTGAATCAGATAAGAAATCGTAGATGGGGTTAAGCACTAAATAACATGATGGGAATTTTTTCCTTAGATTTATTTAGTTAAATATATTTATCTGACTTGATAACTCTTGTCAGTGCATAACAAGTACATGAACTTATCAAGTATTACAATATTGAAAATGTTTATAATAATAATAATATTAATAATATGAATAAATGTGCGTCTATTAGATCTTATAACGATCATATATAGAATTAAATATAAAATAAACATAAAGCACAGTTAAATTTTTTATATGGAGCCATAATAGGACATAGTTTTCAATGTAGATTTTGTTTACAATTTTCTAGTTAATGAAATAAACAATTCCCTTCAGAATTCTGCATACAGAACAATTCATGAATATAATGATATTTGCAGTATGACTTGTAATAAACTGAGTTAAGAGAAATAAGAAACAATCATGAATTTCACATATTACACAAATTTCTAACTTTATTCAATTCAGTAAATATAAACCGTAGAAAGTCAACTTAATGATTTGAAAATTGACAGTTCGCTATGAAGCTTAGAGATTTTTTGTTCGTTTGCTGGTAGATGAAACAGCTGATCGGTATGTTTCCCGCTTTTTGAAATGGTTGTTTAAACAAAATCAGCCTGTGAAGTGAAACTACAACTTACACTTATTTTGGTCTATTTTATAGAACGGAGATAAAACTGTACAGACAAACTGGTAGAAAGATATAGACAAGGTGGGATGCTGTTAACTTGTTGAAATAAATACTAAATACTCATTTTTTCACTATTTTTAAATATCTTGGTAATATTACTATTTAACTAAAGAAAATAAAAAAAGACAAAACGTAAACAAGAGAGGGGTGGGAATGAAATGTACTAGATATTTCCCCCTGGAAATCAAGAAACTCGACTACCTGATAGGTGTATAATTGAAATCGTTTCGGTTCATACTTGGGGCAATCTGAGTCACATATAAGGTATTATAATTTAGAATAAACAATCATGAAAAAACAATAATTATGGATCATAAAAGAAACGAAATCTCAATTTTTGAGTCATTTAATGAAAATATAGCTAAAAATTAATCAACTCACCAGTTGGCTTTAAAAAATTTATTTACAACTATTTCCACTTAAATAAACCACAAAAAAATGAAATTTTTTTTGTGTAAGATACTTAATTGAATAATTACCACGTGCCAACGAATAACAGACCTACTTATGTGAATTTTTAGAATTGTTAGTCGGAAGCTATGAACAGTGAACTTTAGCAACTGGTTGATCAATCAATTTTAGTTGGAAAAAATCTGAAGTCTTAATTCTAGATTATTAAATCACAACTAAATGGTTTACCGTATAGTGTCCACTCTGAGGCTTCAAGATGGTGGAGTTTGATTTAAAATAAGGGACAAAAAGTTTTTACTACTTGAGTTAGTTTTCAGTCAGGATGAAATAGCTGTTCAGTATTTTCCAGGATTCAATACAATTAGTCTTAACTTCTTGTTTGATTCTATAGGTTGTGCGACATTTTTGGATTAAATTCAGGAGAGAAGCTCTGGTAAATAACAAATATCAGAAACGTTTTCTATTCAACCAGTTTTAGGATGACAGTAATTTACTTGTAATGAGTGGTGGCCTAAATATCTATTTAAAATAAATAGGAAGTAAAACTTGGTTCGAGTAGTTTTCATATTGCAAGAAAAATGTGTTAGATAAGTTTATATTTTCAAACGTTTGGAACGTTGCGTTTTATTCACAGTATACGATAAAAAGTAGACACAAGTTAACTAAAGAAAATTATAATATATATCAGAAATATCTTATGTAATACAAACTGGAAGGTAAATGTTAACGATTTATAGAATAATACTATGGGTAACATCATTTATTTAAATTACTGTTTGGAATTGTAACTTTTTAAGTGAAAATTTTCTGAAGATTTGATCATTTAACTTAATTACACTACGCGTGATAGATAGACGAAGTCAAAGATTCTACGAGAAGGATAATTTCTATGAATTTTAGAAGTAAAAGTATTTGATAATGTAAAACAACTCATCCTACAATAAAATATTTATCATTATAGGCAAAAACGATTAGAAGGGTTTCTTAATATGAAACAATACACTGTGGCGAGGTTTATTTGAAACCATATATATATATATATTCGAATGGAAAACGAATTAGCTATTCAGCTCTAGTTAACAAACCTCATGTGATCAGAATTATGAAACTGAGCTGTCACCAATACTGGGAAAAATACATTAACAGTTAACCACTGAAGATCGTTTTTGGAATAGTGTGATTAAAAAAGTCGGACTGATAAAAGCCACGAAGCAAATTTTCTGTAATGTTAATCTGGCTACTTAAATGAATTTGTAAGTAAACGTTTCTTGAAGATTGGCTTCAGTCAGGGTCACATTATGCTGAGGTATATTACAAAAGAACTTATTAATTTAGCTAGCATTTGTTCATATTTTTATACATGAACCAAGCCTCTGAAGTTAAAAATTACGATTTAACATACCTCATTATGTGGTCCCAAAATACACACAAACATGTTTTAAATATAACATTAAATGTCTAAAACCAGTGATTTATTTACCACTAACAGAGATGTTTCACAATCATAAAGTAGTCGGGGAATAAACTGAACTTTAAGTGTTTCATTAAGCGGTTAGGCTTCATATGAAGAGATGAATGTACCTAATGCATTTTCTCGAAGTAGTTTTAAGAAATGAAAACTTAAATTCTTTAATTTCGCCAATTTACTTCATTTATTTACCATCTAGAAATTATAGTATTTATTATTAAAAACAAATGCACACACTTTAAATCTTATCACATATTCCAGGGTATATTCTACAGAAGTTAAATCAGTTTCCTATTAGATAATGGAAACAATGTTGACATGGTGGAGAAGATTTGTAGCTCAGGTGGATGATTTTGATGGAGGTTTGTTCTCTGAGCTGGATGGTTTGGTCGTGAAGCCTTCATCGTTCTTCTGAACGACATCATCAGCACAAACTTCAGATAGAAGTGAAGTGTTCGAATTTCTCCATATGCGTTTCACAGCTTGTTTTGTACACCTCGATGTTGATTGGTTCTTATTGACCTTAAATTTGTCATTGACGAGGTGTACAGAACAAGCTGTGAAACGCATATGGAGAAATACGAACAATTCACTTCTATCTGAAGTTTGTGCTGATGATGTCATTCAGACGAACGATGAAGGCTCCACGACCAAACCATCCAGCTCAGAGAACAAAACTCCACCAGAACGATGTTGACATTTCAAAATCCTTCAAAATAATCAATTAGCAAACAACTGCAAATGTATTACGTTTTGTCGAAGTCACTAATATTAAAACGTTATACTCGCACAGCTTAGATGTTTTCTGTATTCAACATTTAACTGAATTATATCTTATTTCATAATTTTAGTTATAAATTGCTTTTATAAATACAATTTTTCCTATCGATAAATTTGACTAAACACAGAACAAGCAACGTAGCAGAATAACATGAATTCATTAAATCTCGTGATGCCTCGTCAATAACTTACAACTAGACATAATAGTATGAATTATTAAAAATCAGTGTGTAATGAACAAGAACACCAATGGGGACAATTGAATGTATTTTATCAAATAACTACAGAGCATCTCAATAAAATCTGAGAACCATGTATTAAATCGTTAATTTGCAAAATATCAAACTTGACTGTTCCTGTTGCAAACATCAATCCATTATCTCAGATTTCATTGTTCATGCGTTTTTATACAAATTCCATTGTGTTCCCGCTCTTCCTTTCTTGATCTTCCCCCATCTGCTGCCAGATATTACGTTTTTAATTCGCGTTATATACCACTTATATCAATATAAGTAGCGAGCACCACAAGTGTACATAGTTTATACCATAATAACGAAAATGATCTCATCGGTGGAGATTAATGAAAAAAGCATTTTCATACCTATTAATTTATTTTATTATTAAAATAAGAAAGGTTGATTCAGCGACGAGTTCTCTTTCCGATTAATTCATTTTTACAGCTTTACAATCGCAAATATGTATACTTATTTTTCAGAATGATAACAATTACAATAATTACAGTAATAGCGATGATCAGTTGTTAAGTATGGTAACTGTGAGGTAGAATAAACAAAGGTATAAAAAATTTTTAGCCAAGGAAACTAATAATAGTTTCATTGTTAATGGCTTAAATATTCATCATGAAAATATATAGAGGAATTACAAATGGGAAAAGATAGCTCAGCATGATAAGATAAAATGTTGAAATTGAGATGGAATGTTGTCAGGAGGATCATACAGACAGAAATAAATCAGTTAGGGGTAGAAGGTCTATGTTTAACAGAATTTTACTATCACTATTATTGTAATTATTATCATCCTGCAAATATATGATTGTACAGCTGTGAAAATGAATTCACCGAAAAGAGAGCTCTTTACTGAGCCAATCTTCCTAATTTAATGTTTCAATGAGTATATTCCATTTATTATTGTTGTAACTTTTAAGATCGATTTTCCATTTTCAGACATGTCTTTATGAACTCTTCATATTATTTAACATTAATAAATTCATATATCCATAAAAAGTTGTCATAAGTAGTAAATTCAACTTTCATTCAGATGAAAATCCACACATTATATCACAAGATAGCGTGTAATATGCAACTTTTTCGAACTAATTGAATTAAGTATATCTAGTTGAAACGAATGCTTTTTGATAATGATCTAGGTTACGGATTAATGTACTATGGTGGAAGATACGTGTATTAATTACAGCATTAGGAAAAGTATGATATCTAATTGAATGTTAAATACAAGATCTACTCCAATTAATGAATTTTATGGACGTTCAAAAGTACAGAATGATAAATACTTTGGCATAAATAGTTATATATTTTCATCGTTATTTATTAGTCATACAAGTAAATGGAAGGTTAAGTGATCTCTAACCAAATGAACACGTTACTCTACTGATAATAGATTGATCTGAAGACGGAAGAACTGATTAACTAACCACATAAACGACGTGTACAGCTATTTCATCATAATTCTCAATCTAACTTATCTTAAATACATGTATTATATATTATCATTATACAGTTCGCTCAACCTCAACGGTGTATAGTATAGTTAAATCCAATCCTTAAATTATTTACAAGGTGAATTCAGGATACAGAAGTAAACGACTTAGATGTCATAAGCATTTGGATTTTTACATGAAGTAAATGAAATTGAAAATGTTAATTCTTCCGTAGAAAAAAAAAGTCTACAAACCTTTGAATTTCATCATCTGTATTTTCATCTTCTGGATCGTTAGCAGTCACTGGAAATAATAATAACAATCATGAACGATAACAATTAATGTGAATGTAGATGGAAGAGATGTTTTCAACAAGTATAACTTAGTTGACAATTACTAGTTTATAAACTCGGTTTGAAGCCGTTTTTGGTTAAGGTTAATAATATATCACCAAACTGTCGAAATTAAAGTAGTTGGAATAAATTTCGAACTTCATGTATAATGGTAGAAATTTAAATGATTTAAGCACCCTGTCACCATTCTCCACTTAGCTAGTTACAAACAACGTAGAACCTGGGGTGAATGGTCATCAGTTCAAGTTGCCATATTTATTGTTAACTCAGTGAGACAAAACTAACAGGATAAAAATTAAAACAATCGAAATAATAGGAAAAACTCTGAGTAAGACGAATAAAACCAAAGAAAAAGATGCATGATGTAATACTGAAGAAGATTTAGTAGAAAAAGGAATGAGTAACTGGATTATTAAACAAGTACTTCAGAGACCTATAGGGTAATTATAATACTTATAGGTATCACTTAATTTCTGCTTGTAATGCTCGTAACTTAATGGGAATATCGAGCAATTCGTATAGGATGGACATATGCAGTCTATAAAATCAGTAGGAAGATTCAAGCAACCAATATAAATGAATTACACTTCGGCCCATTGCACAAGCCAGTGGCTATCTGCGCTCAGTAGCTAAGTGAGTAACGTGATGGCATTTGAAGCGAATGGCACTGGATTCGAGTCCCGGGGTGAACATCAACTCGGGCGCAGAAACACCCAGCTGACAAGTCCCTTGCTTGCTACTATCGATCCCTTTTTACATGTTAACAAAATTGATATATTATGCGGTAAAACGGAGAAATATAACTTTGTTAAAAAGGTGGATGTAAATGTTAGGGAAGAAAGGGTAAAGTGGTGAGTATTGGCAATAAGGAGGACAAGAGCAGTTCAGAAAAAGGTGACAGGAACGGCTGTAAAAAATTCTTTTGAACCCGAAGATTCAGTTTATTAAGATGATTGCAGGAGGCTTCATGCATATAAAATAGACCAATGTATAAACCATGTGGCAATCTAGATGAGACGGAATTTTTAATCGCACTCAATTGTTCAGAACTCTAGTCGGGTATCGAAGTAATTGTCCATAAGAGGGGAATCGAACTGTTGGTTGCGCATAGAGGAAGAAAATTAAGACAGTATATCATTATTTCTGGCTGTAAGGATGGGAAGATTGTGGGATAGTTTGTAGCTTAGATACAGGAACGTTTTTTGGAGCCTTTTAAAAAAACTTATTATTTTACTGGGAATGCTGTTTATGAACTCGATTTTCAAGAACAATGGTTTTTTTTTAAATGTTTATCGAGTTTAGCTTTCTATCAGCCTTGTTTATACGCCTGTTCATAAATTTCATCGGATGTCCATTCATAATGGTTGGGTCTTTTACTGTTTTAGTCTTAACCAAAACTACACTATTATTTCGTTCTTCATTTAAGGTGAACGTAATTGATGAATGAATACTGTTAAGTTTTTTACAGTACTCACAAATGTAAAGCGTAATGGTAATACAATTCATATAAATTATTCCAAAATGATAACTAGTTATGTATAGAACGAACAATCCTTACTAGCTCAGTTGCTGTAATTATTGGATAAATTATAAATAAACATTTAAACACAGCAAAAACAACGAGGTTCGCAGAATAAAATGAATTCATTATATTTCACGGTTTCTCATCAGCTGCAATTTAAAATTAGTATCAGAAGGAGTTTTGTGGAGATTGTAGTAATTTTAGTAGTTACAATTACTAATATAAATATTATTAACAAATGTTTAGCATACATTAGTTTGTGAAGTTCAGATAAATGTTCGAAACGTAACCATAATTGTAATAGTTAGAAGAATAGGGATACAAAGTGTATGAATAAACATAATCAAGATCGATGTGTATTTTTATATGCTGGGAAGTAATAATTAAGAAGTTATGTAAGGGTAATGAAGTTAACAAGTGATTGGGTAATCACTCAATATGATAAAATAAACAAATATGTGAACATCAATTAGATTATGTTAGAAATGAATATCAGAAAATGAAAGAACAATAAAATAATAGAAGGTTGGGATAAGGTTGAAAAAATTAAGATCAACAAAGGTTATAAGACAAATACCTAATCACCATGACAGGGAGATGCTAACCAAAATTTCCTTCTATATATATAGGTCGGGTTGGAAAACGTTTGATAGCGATCACCTCTGCAAAACGGAGTGAGATTGATGTTTCTTTTCTATTGATTATTTGAATGAATTCATTTTATTCTGCAAACGCTATTATTCTTGATCTGTTTAAATTTATCAAGGGATCTGGTCGGAAGAATAAATAAACAGTTTGGAATTTGAAGACAGTAACCTTTATTGAATCAAAGCATCGGGACAGCTGTTTAGTCAGTGAAGTAGTTGAACAAGACACATTTTGGATACATAACTACATCAAATCTCTTCGTCTTATAAATCAAGCAATTTACTGACTTGGGTAATAAACAAATCATGAGACAAGAATTTACTTCGATTCGCCCCCAAATGCCATGGTGCGGCCGAGAGTGGGGAGAGTTAGCTCTCCCTACTAGGATGGAGACTAGCTGAGCAAAGTGGAAGAAAAATGGTACACCTAAGAGTCAGCTCTTCTTCTCAAAATGCTCTCACATGGCCACGCGCATATTTATACTTCCGTCATGGTAAAACTTGATGTATTGAACCTCGATCGACAATAATAAGGTATGTAAATAAGCATCTAGAAAGTCCTCTGCATACTCGAAATCGAATGTGATATCAGTCTGACAGGTTCTTTCTTATCTTCATTTATCAATCATAAAACAAACTAAGGCAATGAATAAAATCTATCCGCAATACATTTTTGTGTGACTGTTCTCTTTTTCACATTTCGTAATTGAATATAATCTCTTATTTATTAAATTAAGCGACTATCGACAGATCTGAAACAAGCGGTAAAGTTAGAGAAGCTAGTCTTAAGTAACCTGATAGAATTACTGATATCATTTTAGCCGTAAACAAGGCTATGTAAAATGTTGACTAAGTAAAATGAAACATCTACTCGGAAGAATATAATTGAATGAATTACGACGTACTAATGTGCGACACTTCAATGATAATGCTTAGAGTGATTGGAAGAAACAGAAGAAAAATTCTGTAAAGAATATGTAGTTATGGATCGAATTGAGCAACCGATGTTCAGTTTAAAGAAAAAAGGGTAGACGAAAGTGAAGAAAAATAATCAGACAGTGACAGAAATAGAATAGAAATATGATTTTAAAGAAAACTGAAAAATAAACGAAATAGGTCAAAGGAATCATAATTTCATTAATGTTGCCACAGAAGAATAACACATAATTTTGTGGGAGAGGTAATATAAAACTTAAAAATTACGTCTTAATTGGCTGGAGAGTGAGTGACTTACAAAATGATTGCCTCTAATCGCTTATGACATTTCGTTATGTTTATTTTGTATATAAACATATATGAGGACGGCCCCCGGTGAACTCAAGAAAGCTCAGAAAGAACCGAAGACATTTCATCTAATCATCGTTTTGAAGAACATTTCAGAATCTCGACATGTAGCTACTCGATTGGACAAATACTAAAAACGATTGCATGTGGATTGGATGACTGTAATGATTTTGTTTTAACTAAAAACTATAAATACCTGAGTGTTTTGTATCATATCTGATACTATTTGGAATAAGATTTCTTCCTACTTGTCTCCTGTCTTCTAACATGCAACTTGAAGGGTTCTAGCGTTCGAGTGCTTAAGTTGTATGCGGTATAGTAAAATCCAATTTTTAGATATAACATGTAACTTTATTACATAGGAAACCCACTTTTCTGACTAGTGGTCTTATATTTGATTTAAGATTAATCAGTAATTTCAGTCAATAAATCGGTCTCGTGAGCAGTGTTCTTTTAATTAATTTTACGATTAAAGAATTGTGTTATCGACCCACTGAATCATTAACATTCACCTTCGTGACAATGACAATAGGGATAAAAATTGATTGTGAAAAATTTCAATTATTACAAGATGATTGGATATCTATATGTATCAAATTGATGCTATCAGAGATCGAACTTAACAAAATAATCATAGATAAGTCAAAATCTGAAAATCACTCAGAAATCATTATCGGAAAATTCAATGCAATTCAGAATAAAATATATCACAGATGGAAATCTCAACTCATACAACAATACAGTGGTCGCAAACAGTCATATGACGAAGTCAATGAACAGTCATGAAGCTACTGCCCATTGGAGCCAGAATCTACCGAAAGTTGTTCGATTTCAAGTTCAGAACCTCCAATCGAGTCAACAGCAAATAAACCAGATCAATCCCAACAAACCATGGATCAAGCAGTCTCATTAGAGCCATTGATATCTTCAGTTTCAGCAATAAAACACAGTTTAGGAGCTTGAATTGTTATAAACCAAATCGTACGACAAGAGATGAGTTTGAAGAATAGAGAGTAGATGAAAGGAAATATCGTACATTTGATGCTATAAACTATTGGAGGAAATTATTTTTCAGGTTATATACTCTCCAATCAATTAAAACTAATTCTTGGTTGTCGTATCAGTTAACAAGTATGGGGGACAAGCAGAAAAATAACCAGTAACCATTCTAAGTGTTTGGAGTAAAATTAGAACGATTTAATGAAAATCGTGGTATCGAAGTTAGTTCTTTCTTTAAATTCCTACCGTAGTACCAGGACAATTGTACATTTAAACAAAACTTGACAGTAAACTGGTTTCCCAAAGTTATGTTTCGACAATGAGATTTTCCCAGAATTCAAAATTGGTCTGGATAAAATCAATGTATACGTTTATGAAATAATTATGTACACCCATAATGCACAAACAATAGATGTAATGGTTTATTCAACTATATTCTTGTATATACAGTAAGTTTTTTCACTATCAACATTAAGACGAAGATAATTATTTCAGAACGTACGATTTACGCTATAATCAAAAGCCAAATACAATACAGTATTAGATTGTATAAAATTCATAACATGAGCTTGATGATATAGTGCATATGTTGAAACTTATCGAAAAATTATTCGTCTAGATGAAAGGATAACAGATTATTTTTTACAAAATGGCAAAAATCTTTTTTAAGTTTAATTACCGGTTCTTTTGGCATTAGAACCATCGTTAGTAGTGGAGCGGGGTCGTTTTTGTAGGTTCTTTCTGTCAGCTTTTGATTTACGCTTTCTTCTTCGATTAGATTCGTCAGATAAGTTCTCATCACTTCCTTCTCCTTCTCCTCCACTATCCTCATCATCGTCAGTCTCCTGGAATTCGTCATCGTCGTCATCATTATCCGCTTCTTCATCAGAAGAACCTGGTTGCCAGTCGCCATCATCTGACTTTTTCTTGCCTCCTGAAAACAGAAATATTTATTAAACTAAAATTTGAAAATCGAGGAGTGAAGTTCTACAGCAACTCAGGTTTTTTCAAAAATTTTTATCACCTATTATTGAGTGTTAAAGAACGCTTGTATTTGAGGTTTATTTACAAAAATGCCTAAAGAGGTTTGTTGAGTATTAAAACCACTAGTGTCAAGTAAAGCACTATCTCATTCGAGAATAAGAACTTCAGGAAGGATTTAACTGAACATAAGATGCTCAATAAATCGAATTTATAAATATTTAGGTAGATTGTTATTGAAGAAAAGATGATAGATACTTTCCGTTTGTGAACTAATCTAGGCTGGATGCATGGTGCTGTTACTTATGTTACAGACAATAGAAACTACATTTAGAAAATCGAATAATAATAATAACCGAATTTATTTTTACTTCCCCTCCAACTCGATTGTTTTTATAAAACTTCGCTTGGAAGTCCGCGCATTAAGTGCTATGCGATTCTCCATATATGGGATGAGTGGATGTTTTCAAATGTACATACTTTCGTTGAATATCATATCATATTAAAATCTGGAACAATGCGTCCAATTTAAATGTCAAATATAATCTTATTAGTTTGTATAATGCGAATACATATTTGTAAGATTTCTATAAAACAATGTGTAGATGATATCCATAAGAATTTGACATAAGCAAAATTGATTGAGATCACAAAACAATTTAAGTTAGACAACCAGTGAAAACCTGGAGGGACTGAACGATCGTTTCGGCTCAGTATGAGACCCCTTAGCAGTGCATATCCACAGCCCCGAAATCAGGAATCGAACACAAGATCTAGCGAGCAAACGCATAAACTCTAGACCACAGAGCAAAGATACAGTGGTCTATAATATAACCCCCTGAAGACAATCAGAGATAGTCGAGGAATGCCGCGGATTGACTGAAGTTAGTCTTGTACACCATTCAACCTCGGATCAATATTTTAAATGTTGGGTATTCGCTCCAGACCGAGAATTCTAGGTTTGACCCATGGCTGCGAGGCCGTGGATCTGCATTGCAGAGGAGTTCCATACCAATCGGGGCTTAACTTAGATAGGTTCGTGATCTTAATAAAATCCAGTAAATCTCTACAACCGAGTACTGATATACGAATTTATTTCAGATAGTGTAGTTACGCTAAATGATCATGAATTTCTAACACAATAGTACAGACAACGAGGGCTTTAATATTTCTAGTGTATGTTCGAAGAAAATACTACCTTAAGAAACACTTATGACGTATCAATTGTTCCTTTTTTATTTTGTTGGTTGATATCCTTATAAATTAAGGACTATTACATACATATTTTGACAACACTTTGAACTCATTGGGAATATTCTTATCTAATAAATCAAGGGGTATGATCAAAATCCAAGGTTTTTACAAAACGTTTTTCTAAAATACTAGCTTATAATACAATGGATTATATCGTTGGCATTAATTCAGTTCATTGAAATACAATATGAACTCATTCTTGGACGACTGATGTTTATTTATATTATCAGATAGACGAAATAGACAAGTCATGCTTTTAGTTAAAACTTTGAACACTAAATATCATGAAAAGACGTAACTAGGATGTAAGTGTTGTTGGATATGTCAGTTGTAATGAATTAGTACACTTTGATTAACACTCTAAAGTAAAACCGAATTTCAATGATTAAGATCATGAGTCAGTTGAAGCAAGACCACCATGGAAAACCTGGAAGCACTGGACGGCCGTTTTGTCCTATTATGGGACTCCTCAGCAGTGCGCATCCACGACCTCACCCAGTGCGAGATTCGAACCCAGGACCTACTGGTTTCGCGCGCGAGCACTTAATCACTAGACCACTGAGCCGGCATCCAACGGTGTTCATGCCTAACTTCAACTAATCCACGAAATTGAGCGACACATCCACCACTGTCTTCAGTGAGTTACTATCTCACAACAGACCTGTTTGAACTCCACTGGTCACTACTTCTCACTTCCCACAAAAGGACGAAACGGTCGTCCAGTGCTTCCAGGTTTTCCATGGTGGTCTAGCTTCAACTGACTCATGATCTTAACCATTGAAATTACTATAGTATCCACAAAATCCATCTGATATTAAAACCAAATTGTTAAGCTTGACTTACAAAATGTAAAAAATGTAAAAAGATAACTAAACAAAATAACTCAGATTTTAAGTCAGGTTTATGATTTGAAAGAATTAAATAATTTAAATACAAAGTAGATCAATTGCAGTGAATATCTAATGGAGGTTAGTACCAGTATGATTAGAAGCAATAGAATAATTTAAGTAAAAAGAAAGTATCTACTTACAAGTATTGAGAGTAGTTATTATTTTTAGATGTCATTAAAATTTAAAATAAATTTTGCAATCTTAAAGATTTCTTACCTGATTACATAATTCAATTAGTCGACTATCAACTATTGATTTACTCTACATAAAGTGTAAGTAACATTTGATGTGATAATGTCTTGATACGTAGAATACTAAGTGGTTTAGTAAGCAGTGAGTAGCAAATTAAAAAGATGACAAACTATAGAAATAATTTCGCATTTCAGAGAAAGGAAATATTAAACCGTTATGTATACATTGAATCTAAGTTAATAGGTAACGAATATGAACACTAATCAACCAAGAAGGAGAAGTATTATGAACGCTTAGCAAATAAAGATTGGTTGAGGTTAGACATTAACACTGTTGAATGCCGGCTCAGTGGTCCAGAGGTTAAGCGTTCGTGAGAGGCTTGGGTTCGAATCCCGTGTGCAGGATCATGGATGTACACTTCTGAGTCTTACACTAGGACGAATCTGTCGTCTAGTGCCTTCAGGTCTTCAATGGTGGTCTAACATTGATCGGTTCATGGTTTTAATTACGATAAAGAGATGTCGGACAACCGAGCAAGTGTACTTTAATGCAACTAATGAGTGTTGCATACATGTATGTGTGCAAATATTTACTAATAAAATTTTTTATGAAAATTTCAAACATCATAAAACAATATATGACAACTTACGTAGTCTAAGATTAGTTTTATGGACTGATGGTCTGTGATAAAAATTAGGAAATTGATAGAAAAGAGAAAATGCATTAAAAATATGTGTACAAAACATGATAAGTTTTAAAACAACATCTAACTGCGCATTTTTTGCAAATGTAATACAACTCATTTATTGATGATTGGAGCAAACAATATAACCAGATAAAATTGTCGATGAAAAAGAGTAAAATTACTAAGTGGCTGAACGTAAACGAGAAGAAACTTAATTTATATCTCATTTTATTTGGCGTTTGTTAATAATTTCAAGGAAACCTATGCTACCCTAGGGAAATGTCACTATCTACTCATTCGGGTAGGTTGAGGCGCACGCTACTTATGTCTGTTAACATAAGTAGTATGTAAAATCAATCGGAAGTAGAAAACTGGGCATCAGAAGGCCATGAAGGTTGACTTGAAAAGGACAAGAACGGAATTGTGAGTCGGGAGGATCATACAGAATGTGAAAGACAAATAATGGATATTCGCAAATGAAGTATTTAGTGCATGGTTCCTATATTTTACCAGGATAATATGTAATTTAGTATTAAGATGGATTGGTTGTCCTCCAAACTTAGTTCTCGTTCACTACACGTTTCCTTTACCCGTTAATTGTGAAATATCTTTGGGAATAACTGAGAAACTACGTTTTCATTGTCGTTCAGCTTGAAAATCATGGCAAATAATCTACCTAAGGTTCTTGTAAGGCATGGTCGATAAACAAACCTACCAATGATAACATTAAATGCCCACCACAACATTGACTTTTTTCGACCTTGTATGACTACGCCTAGTTTATTCGCTAATCATAATCTTTTATCTACTAGTTGAATTCATGAGTTAATTGAAGCTAGACCACCATGGAAAACCTGGAAACACTGGGCGGCCGTTTCGTCCTAGTATAACTCATGAATTCAACTATTAAATTGATATAATATCCATAAAACCCCTTTCTGATTATAATCTTTTACGTTTGTCATAAATGATATTACGTTTTTTGACTCATTTTTCCTATCCTATAGCTACTGTACAGTATGTTATATATGTCGCTCTTTTTATATGTTTAATAGACTATTTTTTATATACCAACGGTGTCAGTTCACGTTTTAGAAACAGAGAAGGTTTATCAAGCCAAATAGCTTACTTGTTCTGACTGGATAAATTAGGACTCTGCTTGACAGTCTGGAGATTAGTATAGAATCACGTCTGTAGGAAATTACTTTCTACAGTACTGAAAAACCTATTTCAATGATCACACACACCATATTCTATTTCTTGAGATTTGATTACTGAGAAATAAAGTAGGTGGAAATAGGGAGAAAACTAATGCAAGTAGGTGGAATCATACGACTTTGTGTATTGGTATATGATGGTCAAAATTAATAATCAGCAGTGTGAATTAGAATATTTGAATCATTTCCAATTTTATTCATTTGTTATTATACACCAAATACAGATTCGTTCACGCGGCTATGAGACATGCTTTATGTCTTCTGGACAGTGACACTATTCAGCTGCTCAAACCAAATTGGGTGAACCGGGACTCGAGCCTGTGACCTGGTGGTTGGAAGTGGAATACCTCAGACACTCAGCCACTGCTCCACTTCAATCGTGGAAACATAATGAATTATAATCAGTATAAACGATATTTCAAATCCACCTCAAAGGAAAATATTGAATCACATACGCATAAACTTACTTGAACTTCGGAGACTGACCATCGTCATCATCATCATCACCATCATTTAAAGACTGATTTAATGTAGTATTTGGTGGACTAGGTGCACGTCCAACTCTATAGCTACGCCAAGGTACATTACTTTTAGTTTCGTAGCATTGTGTAATCCATTTATCGGAAACAATTATACCTTTACCTTTAACTAAATTGAATTTAGGCGTGTTTGGGAATGCACAGCTATAAAGATATAAAGTGAGGTTGAAGAGAGAAAAGAGATAAATGAAATCAGTAATAGAATAGCATATCTTTCAATTGCAATCATTGTAATACAGAAAAGCAAAATCAATCATATAATCATTATTGTCAAAGAATAATCATAACACTTTAGATAGTGTTAGTTACTTTGAGATGAGACCACTGATTTATCTACAAGTACTAAAACACACTATTTCGATGACGTTGTCTTCGTAAATTTTCTCGCCATCATGTATCTTTGACTTTCTGATTACGGTATTGTTTAGTTGATGATTTATGAAGAAGTAATTGACTGGTCTCTTCCAGATGGGTTAGTAAATTGAATCAAGATCGAGTCTGTACTCATGGATTTTTACCCAAGTGAAATAAGTGATGGGATACCGCGGCGGTTGATTGTTAATATGTTCATATATGCATACATAAAAGATTAATTCACCTCATCTAACTAAGTGTTTCTCACATTTGGTAAAACCTGTTTTATACATGATATTGTATTCATCTTTTATTAGCGTTATGTTTTCTGACTTGCATAAAACAGAATCAAGTGATTATGTTCGCTTGTGAGTAACAGAATTTAAAGTGCCGAAATTCTGGATTACAGAAATTTCAAGAATGTCAAGGAATGTTTAGAAGCCTATCACTCACGTTAATTTAGAGTAAAAAACACACCAATACAAATCTAATTAATCGATTCAGTCACCCATGTGAACAAGATGTTCCTTACACAAGAATATATTAGTAGATCGATTCGTACGCACTTTTTGGATCTACAAGAAAGTATGAATCACCTGAATCTGGATAAGTTCAGAAATTAGTAAATTTAACTAACCCCATAAAATTATAGATTTGAAAGTTGAAAAATTTAATGAAATATTAACCCAGAAAACGATACAGAAAACTTTTTACATTATAGAAAGTAGGAGAATATCAGTGAAATTACAGTCAAGTATACTATTTTTAATCTGATGACTGATAAGTGTGAAATATCTCTTTTTGGAATAGTGATCGAATATACACAAACGTCTGATGATTATCACTAGCTATTATTCTTAATCTCCAAAAGCTTCTATCCTAAATCACTCTATATGGTCTTTGGACAGACTACTGGAAAGCTTATATTTAAATAGGTTAGTTTGACGACGTAAGTGGCTAAACAATTATTAGTTAAGGAAAATTAGCTAAGTTGTATTACAGAAAATTTCTGCTTTTGTGTAAGAATTTTTTTATATTGTAATTCAGCAGAAAATTTGAAACAAATTTAACAAGGATATCTGCATAAATTTATTGAAGTACAAATGCTTGAAGAATGAAGAACACATATTTGACTTACATCAAATGTGTACAATCTGGACCCCAATCTTGTCTGTACTTGGCACCAAGTTCCAGGGCTTTGTCTCTGATTTGACTTCTTAAGGGATTTTGATAACCACTCAAAGTCAGAATAACATTTGATAAAGGTTTTTGGGTTGAATGAGAGGTTTTTGATTGTTTGTAATTCTCTTTGTTCTTTGATATGCGAGAAGACTGTGAAGAACGTATTATACCTGTGTTGGTGGAAGAAGGTCTTGTGTGTGACTGGTGAGAACTGGTACTCGCCTTAGAGGAATTATGATGATCGACTGGTCGACTCACAAGTAATGAACTTGACGTACTAGCTACAGAAATAATTTAAAAAACTGGCATTTAATTTATACATGGATAAGGGCGTTTTGGACAAACATTGATCGCAGTTAAAACAGGAGTATGGCCTAGTGTAGTAAACTTCTGGCTAATAAGTTATTCATAAACTAAGTACTGAAGGTACACCTAGGGTAGTTCGACAACCCTGATTCCGAGTCATTGGTGTATACAGATTTGGGGATCCTGAAGGAACAAATGGCGTGTGAACTCATTCGTGGTCATCATCACCGAAGCAGGTGGTTTTCTTAGGAAGCCACACACCGAGCCTTTGACCTAAAGGTCTAATCCAAAAGGTAGTGAAACAACGTTATAAGATGCAGTTTCATGGTAGCCGGTGACCAATTATGGGTTGATACACCATTTGTTTCCTTAGGATCCTGAAACCCATATGCACCATCGGTTTGGAATCAGGGTTTTCCAACTCCCCTAGGTGGACTCTCTGTACCCACCAACCCCGTCAAAGCAACAGACACTCGCTTTTGGTCCTCTAAGTTTCGTAAACACGCCCGCCGCGAGAAGGACTTCTCTGGCAGTGGTTGTGTGCAAGTGTCCATGTAAATGCATTTCGAGAGGAAGAGTTGACTCTCCCCACTGTTGGCCATACCAGGGGCATTTGGGGGCCAACATGGGACCGCATCTCCTGATGTTATTCCATTGCTTCGTGCATTAGACCACTGGGTCAAAGGCTCGAGGAATGGTCCCCTAATAAAACCACTTGCCTCGGTTTGGAGACCCGAGGAGTACCCCAAACCCCACACACAATGATTTGTGTAAAGCAAAGATATATTTTGGAGCCTCTTTGTACCAATGTTTATGCGTTTAAATAAATAAATAGGATAAAATAAGTGTGGTTAAAATTTGAGGGATTATATATATATATATATATATATATATATATATATATATATATATATATATATATATATATATATATATATATATATATATATATATAAATCGAACATGACGAGAGGTCAAAAAATCCAGCTTATATAATGATACTAATTTTTAGGTTCAAAGGAAGACAGAAAAATGAATGCGAAAAGCGACCAATCATGAGCTATGTTACTTACATCCTTCAAACATAGACAACATAGTCATCATCGATGAAATTCCATCAAACAACAAGTCTGTGATAAACTCTATATTAAAATGTTTCAATCATATCAAACAGGTTAAACCTAATCTCATTTACAGTAAATGGACAAGATTAAGTCTGATAGTCAAATCTTAATATCACTGAAATGCGCCCTCACCACAAAGAAGCCGGTATCATCCAGTTAGTAGAATAAAAAGCAACGTCATCGTGAAATAAAAAGTGCAAATAAACAAATATGCACAGTTGTGCGAATTATATTGAGTTGTACCTATTATCAGAGAGCTACCAACATTTTTATGTCAATGTAGGAACACGAAGAGTGATATCGGAGGAAATAGAAAAAAACTTACCGTTCTGAATTAAATTAGCTGAATGTTTCAAAGCATTTAATTTATCTGAAACTACAAACATAATTTCTGTATGTATCCTTACTTGAGGACTTGGACTGTGAATTGTCTTTATCGCAGGATGTCTGGCGTGAAGCCTGAAAGAGTGAACCTGGTTTGAATTGAGTTGAGTCTGATTCTTCGTCATTGAGTAAACTGTCTACTTTAATGTTTTTATCCTATGATGTGAATGTTGGAATAAAAATGACGCTTACGTCGGCTGCTAGATTTGCATTAGCTGGAGTGTGGAAGAAAACGAAAGAAATACCATACTGTAAGGTTTTGTTAAACGGTTGGGAGCAAACAAATTTGACTAGATCCCATTTCTGGCAAGCTATAGATTTTATAAACTGATCACCACTAAATACCCGGACACGGTTAAGGTTCGTTTCGTTTTTTGCATCTACTGGAGACATAAAAGAAGAGGATGGGAGGAGTACCTAGAACTGGTCTGAACAACAAACTAAGATGTTACCGATGAGTCATCCGATGAAGCAGATCTTCGCACCAGCACTTCGATAAAGGCAGAACCATTATTCCCAATATCTAAACGTGAAATTTCAATAGGTTCGGAAAACTATGAAGCTTTAAGATGATATGAAAAAAGCAGTTTACACTCAATTCTACAGCTTCTTGCTTGCTTCCACCACTTATACAACACCACTTTGAGAATGACGACCCTTTTAAAAGGTTGGATGCAGGAAAAGCCTGGAAAGGAGAAATATGAATGTTAAATGTTGCATCTTTTTAAGGAAATCATGTAAGGTCTTGAAAAAGTATGAACATTATGATTTCAACCTAGATTAGGTTACGAGAGGCTTGTAAATAGTTCATGAGAAAATTAAGTGAAATAAAGACGGGTAAAACAGAAATCTAGGGAGAAAGAAATAGATAGACTATAAAAAAATCTTTCCGAATTGCTTCTAACTAGTAATTTGTACTATTCATAAGAACTTTTAGTTATGACTGCTTAATGAAGCAAAGTTTAAAAATATGTTAATTCAGAAATTAGGGATGGTTAGTTTCCCCTTACATGATGGTAAACTGACTGATATTACGCCAAACAGTGACAACAGCCGGGTCTTGTTGTTCGACCTGACACATGTTTTCCAAAGTCAATCAATCAGCTACAACATAGGACCAGGCACATATGTGCATCAGTTCAAGTTGCCATACCTTTAGTACAACAAGATGAACATCCGATTCATAGTAGTTAGTTTAATGGTGGTAATAAATAAAGATTGCATATAAGGACATAGTACAAGAAGAAAGAATTAGTTCGTAGAAAGATATGAAGCGATTTTAATCGCACAATTTAAAGGAAGACAGAGAGTGTATACACCTACAAAATTGTGATCGATTCTGAGCCATGTCACCTAGAGTTTCCAATCATTGGTTACGATAATCATGCGGACCACAACCGAGTAGTCTGCATCTACCAACATGGCTCAGACCAGAAGTTAGTGGTTTTATGGACTGATGCCACGTTTTGGTTTGGCTGCCCCTAACCTTCCAACCATCCCCTACACTAGTCAGCATCGCGCGTCGTGATAATCCGTGTTCAGGCATACGAAACACGTGGCCCAACCATCTCAGTCGATGAAGATTCACGACCTCATCAGGTGATTTACCATCATTCCCTGATATCCTATGTCTAACTTCACCATTACTTACCCGCTGATTCCAGCAGATGCCAGCAATATTTCCAAGGCATCTGTGGTCAAATACTAGTAACTTAAGAGTATCTTCTCTTAATGGTCATGTTTCACAGCCTTAAATTAAAACAGAACGAACTGCCACGCAGTATACTCGTCCCCTAATTGATACAGATATTTCGCCTTCGCTGTAGGTGGCGTAAGTTGGCAAAAGCCAAACGAGCTTTTCGAATCCGTGCTGAGATTTATTCAGACATCAATCCATTAGGGATGATCAGACTTGAAGAGTGGTAAGACTAAAAGCAGAAAACTCAAGGTCTGAGGGCGAAGTCGTACTGCTGACCGTACAGAGGTGTGACGGTAGTAAGTTGTTTCCTTCAGACAACCAGCATAACAGCGATGTCGCCTTCATACAAGAAAGAGTAGAGTTAGAAAAGGTCGACTTTAAAAATGCACACCTCGCCTTATCCTACAGATATCTGTCTCCAGCCGTAAGGTCTCAACAAGCACGGAGCTAACACGAGAATTACTCACAAAAAGGTCGTGTGTGACCGATCTCAAGCAGTTGCCCCTTGGGCACTGCGGTCACGATCTCAGGTCTCTAAGACCGCCTTTAATCCAATTTCCTTTTCAGGTACCTTCAGAACCTTTCCACAGTGTGGACAACCGGGAAGTGAAAACCGCCGTCATACTTCCAACAGCACTCAAGACCACTGTATGTTTTCTGAAGAGGAACACATAAATGTATGCTTAGAAAATAAGTCACATTAAATTTTATAGTTATGAGGATCAAAATCATCCTTTACGCTAGCCGTCATGAAACGGGAACGAGGCAATAGTTAATAATATCTAACACGAGTTTGGATAGTTCAATCAATGAAAAAAACTTAATCCCTGAAAAAAATTACATGCCACACATTTTCACCATACACAAGAACTTTTATGGTCAAATGGTTGCAATTTTCGGTTGTTTATGAAATTAGAAATCAGATTTTATAGAAATGATTCAGATCAAATAGTTGAGTAGTGGACTAACTTCTTGATAAGCAATAGGACATTACGCAAAACGCAGCTATTGAAGACTTGAAACCTGTGTTAATAATGTAGTAATTGTTCGATTGCTACATACGTTCATGTGAATGTATTTCTTTAATTGTTATTGATGGCATTACTTTAAACCATTTCCTTACCTTTTATGTACTGTTTAGCCGACTAATAGGCAGTATGTAATTATCGACGCATCAAGTATGAGGAAGGTTCTAACTACAGATAAATAGTGGATTGTGGACAAAGAACTTTGTCTCTATCCTACAGACCTTGTGGACATGCATCTGCAGAACAATGACCAACCAGATGACAATTGGTCAGTCCTGAAGTGCAAGGTCATGTACTACTGAGGTAAGTTACAAACATAGAAACCATAATTTCCTACAAATAGTTTCTAGCCATGTCACGCTTGAGTGTGAACATTGTGCTATTTATTATTTATTTATTTTAACACATAGACATTGGTACAAGGAGGCACCAAATATATATGCGCCACACATATCTCATTTGATATGTGTGAGGGCTGTGATATTGCTCGGGTGCCCAAACCGAAGCAGGTGGTTTTCTTAGGGGGCCACATCCCGAGCCTTCGACCTGAAGATCTGATCCACAAGGCAGTGGAGCATCGTGAGGAGATGCAGTCCCATGGAAGCCGGTGACCAAGAAATTGGTTCATACGCCATTTATTCCTTCAGGATACTGGAGCCCATGTGCACCATTGATTTGAGATCCGGTTAAAGCGCCGGACATTCGCTTTTCGTCCTCTCAAATTCGTAAACGACACGCCCGCCACGAGAAGGCAATGAGTAGGACTTCCCTGGCAGAGGCTATATACGCGTGGCTATGTGAGAGCATTTCGAGAGGGAGAGCGGACTCTCTCCACTCTCGGCCGTACCAGGGCATTTGGGGGCGTGAACATTATGCAGCTAATATCGAAGTCTGATGGGCGTGAACATCCACGGAAATTTGATATCGGACTATCAAGTTTGTAGTTCCGTTTGTCATTAAGCGGATGTCTTCAGCAAAAAGACATAAAGGACAAAATTGTAAGTCAACAAAATTCATTAGATTACTTGTTTCTATTCCAGATGGCCATGCTGGCATGGTTAATGGATGATAATCCTAAAACATCCATGCGCTATATTGTGTCACGCGTCATGACATCTGTAGTTACCAGCGATTCTACTCTATTTGGCACTCCACCGAAAAGCACACTTCAGAAGTGCAGGTTTTACGGCTGCATATGAAGAAACAATTTTTTTCTAATCTTCAGGCGCATTAACATCTTGATTCTTGTCTTCACCCGTCGACGAAAAACATGCCGAAGCTTATGAATCGTGAAGCGAAGGTATTTTCACGACATGATACAAAATACAAAAGCGTCATCGAAGAAATCGAGAACACACATGTACCAATATAATGTTATAACTATTAACTGTTGTTATATAGGTGCACGGTTCAATATTAAGGAAAATACTTAAAGTAGACAGTTGTTTAACGAACTATGACAGTTAGATGTTGTACTGCTTCGTGTTTATTAAATTTTAGAATTTGCAGGAATATTACTTTGGTTTCGAATAGTTGCACTGCAGTTTAGGAAGGGCGTTACTATTGAAATACCTTTTATGTTTAACTTAATTGTTAATAAAGCTTTTCTCTACTATGCGCTGAATTTCCGACTTGTATGTGAAACTCTTAAGGTGTATGTTGTGGAAGTCTGTTTAATTTTATATGCACTTATCATTTAGGACATGTAATTTCTTTTGGCAGATCACAGTAAATTACAACAGGACTTGACACTTACTATGAAAATACATAACGATCATCGCTCAATTATTCGTCTATTGGCAATATTTTTGCATAGTATGATATTTCTTCTTTTTAATAAATGTCTTTAAACATGTACCAATTTTTTTAACACAGTCAATAGCGGCTGTCATGTGGTTTGTTAAGGAAATAAAGGAGAGTACAGAAAACATTTGGAATTAAGCAAAAGGTAGTTAACAAAGTGTAATCAGACGTGCATTTAAAACTAGGCGGTTATCTATGCTAAAATTAGACAAGTTAGCGTTTATTTAGGCAGAAAGTAGACAATTCAGCGACATGCGAAACAAAAAGAAAAATGGGGAATTCTGCATTCTTTTCCATTGACGGGCGAAAAAACAAACATTTTGGCATGTCTCCTTATTATTTCCCCATCGTCCACCTTTATTTCTCCCTTATTAGTTGTTTGAGGATATAGAAAACTTTTACCTTAAGGTAAAGTTCCAGTTTAACCCCAGAATACTGGTCACAAGGAGACAAGCAAATCATAAAAACTAAGTTGTATATTTTGGGCAAGATTAACTTACTTTATCTTCACTTGTAAAGCTAACAACTCTACTTGGAACGACCTCAGGCATCACAGGCAACGCTACAGGGGTTCGTCCACTGAAGGAGGTTGAGAGCACTTGAAGGTCAAACTGTCTCAAGATGATTGATGCGTCACATCGACAATTCGTGAAGTTTTTCAGAGGCGGTCAAATTAAGACATTTTTAGATTTGAATTAAGTTGGGCCACACCATGTCTGATAACGTCCATCCTTCAAGTAACGAAGATGATGCCATCATGATGATGTATGATGTAGGACGAATCTTCAATGATATTATGTTATCTCGGAGATTTACAAGTTGGGACAATTTTGAGACCTGTTTGAAAGAAGTACATAAGGTAATATGACTTCAATGTTAATGATTATTTTCGTAGCATACGCATACTAGGCATCACACAACGTCGAATCTCAAATTAGACTCACCAATCTTCAGTTTTCAATCATTGTGTGTATTCCAATAGTTTAAATGGTTGTGAACAGAACAGTAGAAGTTTTTGCTTAATGGGCTTGTGTATCTAGTAGTAGTGGATCACTGATGCCTCCAGGTAAGAACCTTTTGGAACGGGAAGTTTAGTCCTAACGTGGTTTGCATTTCTTAAACTTTTGCTGTGTTCTTACGCAACAAAAGTACAATTTCTGATCTAAAGAATCTATTCTGAGCTATAAGTTCGGTAGATTACTTTTCTTAGTTTCGCCCAATTTTATAGGTAACTGTGGTTTTGCCTCAGCCTACTATTCGGTTTGTTTTCAGTTTTTCACGTAAAGATTAGATCAGTTTACCTCATCTGTTTTTATCCATTTTTCCTGTTTTAGTGTATTTTTAACGGTCTTAGGCTTTTGATAGCATCTATAAAACAGTTTACGTCAATGTAACCATGAAAAACTCATGCAAACGACCTCGATGCCATTTCGCTCTTACATCTGGCATGCAGTGCGACAACTGCAAAGGTCGGTTCCATGAAGCGTGCACAGATATCACGGCAACTGCTTACAATAGACTCAGCAAGTCGGATCATAAGTGGGTATGCGTTACATGCAGCACGGATGCTGTTCTATTGCTGAGTAACATCAGTGTCCTATTGACAGGTCTGCGGGACAAGTTTTCAGCAAACTTGGAAAAAAACAGACATAAAACAAGTAGACAAACAAGGGCACGTAACGAAAACAAAAATAAGGATGTCTATAGGTCTACTATCGATGGAGTATGCATTAGCTCTTATGATGACATGTTGAAACTCAGTACCATCATTACGTCGACGGTGATAGACTCCCTTAGTAAACTCGGGTCTCCCAGCTCAGGGTCCTTAAATGCAACAATGGTTCCCAAAAACTCTGCAGATGATTGGGCCCACGTTTACAGAGTTAAAAAGGATCAGGCGTCATTGTCTAAGCTAAACATCACAAGTGTTGTACGGAAATCAACTGGTGATTTGATCGCTCAGTCTACCTTCGAAATCGTCCGCCCGGTTATCAAAAAGCCTAGGACTCAGAAACGTGCTTCGTCCTCCAAACAACAAGGTGTTGAACCCGAACGCACCGGAAAACCTGGGAAAACAATAGCGGTTCGTGAGGACTCTCTCACAATTATGAACCTCAAAGACAACCATGACCTTCCTCTCAGTTTGCAGGACAAAAATGAGAGGATACTCAGGGGTGAATTGAACAAACATTTCGAACTTCCTAGAATAGGGCCTTTGAAAGTCACACGGCTCACTCGGTGAAAGGAGTCTAAGCATCAAAATCACCCGAGGCTACTTTGTGTAACACTCAAGAACGCTACCGATGTAGAGGATATCCTGCTAGCTAGTCAGTTACTGAAATCCGATAGGAACGTCAGAATACAGCTCGACATAGCGTATTCTGAGCGCAATGTCATCCGGAACGTCCCTAAAGAATCTCGATAGAAGTTTTTTGGCGTAAGAAATATCATCGTGCAAGGTGTACCGAAAAACGCAGACCCTAGTCAAGCAAACTCTGACATTCGGGAATGGAAATTCATCAAACAGTCCTTGATGCTCAAAAACATACTGACTCAACATGTGACGAAACTAGCTAGGAAGGACAGCGATTCTAGGCCACGACTAATGAGGATAACTTTCCAATCCTCCCATAAAGCAGCTGCAGCTCTGGAAGCATTTCGTACGAACAAACGCCGGTTGCCAACTGGGATTAACATGCACCCGAATAAGCCATATGATGCCAGGATCAAGCACAAAGGCAAGCTGTAGCTGACCATTCCACTTGTAGACTGTCTTGATGATAAAAAAGTGTAAAGGACAGGGCTGTTGGAAACAATTTCCTACAGGTTTAACTAAGCTATTCTCTAAACTGTCGAATACAGAGTCTTGCTTTAGCCAAAGTCAGAACAAGTAAGCTATTTGGCCTGATAAACTTTATCTGTTTCTAAAACATAAATTACACACCGTTAATATACAAAATAAACAGTACAGTCTATTAACGTAGGGGAAACAGAGACATAATTAACATACCGAACAGCAATCAGAGAATAGGAAAAATGAGTCAGCAAAGCGAATATTGTTTTATAATGAACATAAAATTATGGTTGGTGGATAAAAAAAGGTATAGTCGTACAAGGTCAAAGAAAGTTAACGTGGTGGTGGGCGTTTCACCTTATCATTGGTGCGTTCGTTTATCGATCACATTTTACACTCCCCCCGAAACGCGCACCACGTCCATTGTTCTGGGTCGTCGTCTCCGTTAGATAGCCGGCTTCTTCCAGTAAACATAAGCTTCGTACGTCTCGAAAAATTTCTTCGTTTGCGGTTCTCAACTTCGCCGTACGAACTCGACCGTCAGGACCATAGCTTACTTGTTCAACAATAGCTTTAGGCCATAGACCTCTACTCGTTTCGACACTACTAACAAGAACTGGGCCACCCGGTTGTAAGTTTTTGTGTACGTTCAACCGTTTGTCTCTTGTTTGGAGAGTCGGTAAATATTCTCTCATCCATCTATTCCAGAATGCGGTAGCTAATCTTTGAGCTTCTTTCCATCTTTTATTATATAATAACGTCTTATCCACCGAAGCACCGTCGAATGATAATCCTTTGTAAATCAACAACTTATTCCAAGTAAGAGCCTCTAGGGTACCGGGATCGTCTGTCATTTTAACTAGAGGTCTATTATTTAGTATCCTTCCTGCGTCGGTCAAGAACGTTTGTGGAGCTCCATCGATCAACAAGTTTTGAAATAAAAGCACTCTTGGAATTCTTCTAATTGATCTTATGATGTGTTCCCGCACACCACCTCGATGACTTGTCCTAGGTGGGTTGAAACGCCACTCACAACCTCTCTCAAAAAGGATATTTGCTGTCTTATTCTGATTGCAACTACACTTGATCTGTCTGAGAATAGTATTGGTTCCTGTAAAGCTACCAGATGCACACTTAGTCTTATTCACAACTCGTATAAGAGCGCCTTTCTCGACACCATCCTCGATACCATGGCGAATATGTGCTGTATGATTCTTCAGAGTCTTAGTTACTGGTTTCTTTGTTACAGTGGCCTTCGGTCTTTTCGTAGTCTTGACTTTCAGTTTGGTGTCCGTCTCTTCCTTAGGCTTTCCTAGAGTTGATTTGGGTTTATTAGCACATAGTGCTTCACTTTTTGGCTTAAAATCCTTGTACTTGGTTAATAAAAAGGAGCAATGAACTTGACGGTGCATTGCACCCAATCAACAGTTTGACGTTCTCATCTTCTACTCTCGGAAAACTTATGTCTTTTAGATGGGGCTAGGATGCCATTTGATGCGCCGCTGGTACAGTCCTGTAAACTGCCGGCAATTTGTTGACTGTCAATACTTTCTGGACCTTAACGGATGAAGAAAAATCCATCGAGTGCAACTCTATATCGACTTCTTTGGATACCAACGACGATTCATCACTAAGAGTCTTTAAAGATACCGTTTTCGGTTTCCCCTCGAGGCCTAACTTATCAGCTAGATCACCAACTATGAGAGAGGTGTCTGACCCACTATCTAGAAAGGCGCAAGTCTGAATAATCTTCTCACCATTTTTTATCCACACAGGCACTACTGCAAATGCTACTGGTCTCTGTATACACTTAACACTTTCCTCCGTACAAAGCCGAGTATTAATGTAGGCATCACCATTAGTATTTCTTTGTTCTTCCCGCTTCTCGTGTAACAGAGTATGGTGTCTCCAGCCGCACCCTTCAACATCACACAACTTCGGTGATCGACAATTTTTCGCTACATGGTTTGCCTTTAAACAAACATTACATAACTTGTGTCTAAGGACGAATTCTTTCCTTTCTCTAACATTCTTGTCTTTAAACTTTTGACATTGATCTAAAGAATGATTACTTGAGCACTCCAAACATGAAAAACTACGTAAGGCAACATTTTCATCACTAGTACTCGCGTAAGATATCCTTGCTGCATTGTAATCTCCGCTAATTCTCCCTTTTAAAACACTAACATCTCTATTGTCACTATTACTACCGCGGTTGACAAGTAGGCCGTATCTAGTATTAGCTATATCAGCTAGTTCCTTTACAAACTCAACGAGATCGGCAAACACAGGCTCTCAACCTCCTCTGATAATCTTATAAGCTACCTTTAGCAAATCTTGTTGAATGTGCGTTGATAATTTCAGAATCATAGTTTCGATAGTTCTAGAAGAGTTCAAATCAGAAACGTAATTCATCTGTTCGAGAGTCAAACCACATGCTTGCATTTCTCGAGACAGTCTTCTCAAACCATCTGGTTGATTCCTTCTTATAATGGGAAAGTTTAGCAAGTTGTCGATAAACGTGCGTGCTATAACGTGTTTTTGGCCAAACGTTTCCTCTAAAAGTTTTAGGGCTTGACGATAACCTATCTCTGGTTCTAGTATAGTACAATGAAGGATAGCGGCTTTCGCTTCTCCGTCGCGATATTGAATCAAGTAATTTAGCTTAGCTCTAAATCCAATACTCTCATTCTCAATGCATTCTTCGAAATTTTTAATGAAATTCCAATAATTTGTCGGTGTACCATCAAATCTTAAGACTTCTCTTTTTGGTAAATACAGGTTTTTTAATATTGTATTCTCACT